CCAAAATGTTGAATACCCCCTGGAACCAGAATTTAGCCTCTGGCTCACAGCTGACATTCATCACCTTTAGCTCAGTCCTAGCCCAGGGCTTACCCTTGCAGTAGAAGCATTCATTGTATAGACTCCCTAGGTGCCCTTCAAAATAGCAACTAAACACATAGTCATCTGCTCCTATTTGTTCTTGCTCTTAACAGATATTAAAAGTAAATTGGAATGAGTTTCATCAGAGTAGAGACATTGAGAACTTCTACCCAAAATAGATACCAGATCAGAATTAGCATAAGCTGGAACTCAGATGAAACAGACCTAATTAACAGAGGAGTTTTAGTGTCCTGAATTCTAGAACAATGTGTAAAACTTTTATTATTTTAGTTTGTTTTGGGATAGATAATGCAAAGAGTTGAAGGCAAAGACCACTTGTAAGGATGGTGTGGGTTTGTCTGCCACTGTATTAGGTAAAATAGTTAAAGTAAAGGAGTATTTAGACTGGAATTTTTTATACCATTAAACTGTTCTTATAAGAAGTCATTGGCAGTCAATGCCACAATTTTAAAAACTGATTAGTTGTGCTTCTTAGGAGTAGCAATGGGAGGAAAAGAAAGAAAAAACACTTGGAAGAGGGTGTTTCTCTAATAAGAGACTCTTTCTGAGGAAAAGGATCTGTAGGACTGAAAGGAAAGAGGGAATTACACAAAGATGGCCATTAAGTCCCCTCATCCTCTTTTCCACTCAGTGTTTTTCCCAACACATCTATGGGACCCTTCTTCTGGGTGTGATTTGGCAGGTGACAGCAGCAGGTATTTGAGTTAAGAAAACTGCCTAGTGAAAGAAAGACACAATAGGATACATACGTGCGAGGTGGAGTCAAGTTTGTATAACTTTCTCCCCAACAAGAGCTATGATTTCTAAGGTCTTATTTCCTCACAACTTGGAGCGGCTTTCATTTTGTTTCAGTGTGAGGGCCGTTATTTAATAAGACATAAGGAAGGAATGTTAAAAAAAAAGAAAACTGTTCTTTGTCTTTGCTTCTGAAAGTGTGGTCTGTGGACAAGCAGTATCAGAAGCACCTCAGAGCTTGCTAGGAATACAGACTGTCAGGACCTACCCAGACCTGCTGAACAGGTAGCAAAATCCCCAAGCAATTTGTATGTACATTAATGTTTGGGAAGCAGTGCTCTAAAGGGTTTATAATGAATCAAAGGGATTGAGAAGGTAGGTTAATTGCCCTTAAGGTTAGAGCTCATACTGTCTGTAGAGAGCAGTGCCACATTGTTCAAGAAGAGAGTAAAAGCACTCCCAATATGTTCATTCCTTTCAGACTCTCAGCATTCACATTCATAATAGCTTCTCAGATCACCCCATTAATTGTTTACACATGCTTGCATGCTCTATATTTCTACCAACAGCAGTGAAAAAAGGAAATGTGGAGGAAGCAAGAGAAGGTGAGAAGGGTGGCGAGGAGGGAAGGAGGAAAAGAAAAAGGAAAGAAAGAAAACTCCCATGTTTTGTTTATTGTATTTGCTATTGACCACACATCAGACTAGAGGCATTTTAATAATAGAGCTTGTGATTTGAACCCCAAAATGCCATTCTCAGGCACACAACTTCCCTTCTACTGACTCCAAAACTACCAAATAATGAACACTGACTATACTATATGCTTGATACCTAGAAAAGTATGGAATTTTACATAAGACATTAGAGAATAACAAAAGCTGAATTGACGTGACTTTTTTAAAGGAGAAGCGATGGAGAAAGGGTTCTGCATGATATCTAAGAATTGGAGATTTAGCTAAAAGGGTCCAGGAAGCTGGAATAATTACCTCAAGCACAACAAGGAAACTCCTGTTGGCTCAGAAGTCAGGAAGAAGATATCATAGAAAATTAGCCTCACATAGAAAACTTTCTTGGATACTCCCTGTCACATGGTCATAGGGCTATAAAGAGGGACTGCACAGGGTCACCTGGCCAGAGAAGATACAAGAAAGGGCTATGGGAAGCAGCAGATGTAGTGAAGAATAAATGAACTTACTACCTGAATAAGTGAAATTTCTTTATTGAGAAAAGAGTGACCAATTTATTTCCATATCCATGAAGAATCAAACCAAAGACAAAATTCCCTTAAGTAAAAAAACTTGGATTGGAAATTAGGCACAGTTTTCTGTAGAGGGATACAACACATTGGATTGACATTAGGAGTTATAGATGCACAGTAATTTACACTGCAGATCTACTGAAACAAATTTATTCCAGTGAAATCTGGATAAAATGAACCATAATTAAAATAATCAAAATTTTGGGAAAAGGTATAATGGGGGAAAAAGATCTTGCTTGACAATGTTGAGGACTGTTTCTGGGCTGATCTCATGGGGCCAAACCTCATGTTTTATATACCCATTCTGCTGTGTTACCTTCTTTTTCTGAGTTACTGTGAAACAAGAAAGCAGAGGCTATCCAGGTCAGCCTGAATTAATTTCCTAAGGATGACTCTGCCAGGAGGCTGTGTGTAAAATCATGAATAGACTTCTTAGGGTTAATAAGGTGTCCCTTTATGAAGCCTGCAGAAATAAGCAGATACCACCAGTTCTAAAGAGTTATGATTCCCCCTTTAGGGAAATGAAGGACCTTCCAGCTTCATACTCCACTATTCTCAAAGGACATGCCCCTCTGTGAGCATGTCTACAAATGTATGTGATGCCACTTTGCTGAAAAATGTTTCCTGTTCCTCCTTTAAATTCATTTCAAAAGGAGGAAGTTCTGTTATTGAAAACATAAGAGAAGTAAAATATCCCTTAATGGAAAAAATAAAAGAGGAAGTCAGGATAGCAGCACTCTATAAAAAAATAAGCTCAGTATAATATTTCACTCAGAGAAAGGCATTGCTTCTAAGACACATGCCTATAAATCTTACCGAAGCAGCATTGTTTTGAAATTTCCCCAGACTCTGGAAATTGTATTAAGCACAGGAAGAAAGCAGCACTGGAAGTGCTGGATTCCTGGCCTGAGTTTCTGCTTAGAATGAGCTAGAACTGATAACATGTACTCTTTTAAAAATTGCCTGAACTGAACCATTCTTTGCATACAGATATGGGAGTTTTAAGAATCTTGTTGGTTGGGGACTTGAGAAGTCTTGTTTACTGTGGATATTACCAATCTAATGACAGTATATAGATCACCAAATTTTCTTCTTCTCTAAAATCCATTTCACCATTTATTTTCACTAGTTTTCTTGATTTGAGTTTAAAATTGAGTGAATTGTAGAAGTAGGTAGAATTATGCCAATTTTTCATAGTAAACAAGTAACTTTTGGTGTTTAAGAACAGTTTTTGGTGTGAATTTTTCCCCAGAACTTCTTCTGGAAGATACTTGTTTGTGACTATTCTTTATTTTTGGCAATGCCTTTAATAATGAGCAAGCTGGTTTAGACAAAACTTGTTTTATTGCCTCTTTTTAAAGAGGCAGAATAAATGTATAAGGGTAATTTTTAAATGAGCATCTTCTGTACTCTGGTTTCAACTTGGTTGCTACATGCAACCTGACATTATTTCTATATGAAAATTTGATCCATCCCATTTTTAATTAAGATGGTGATTTCATTAAAAATTATTTGCCAAACAAACCTACAATACTTTTCTGTTCCAATACTTTTCAAGTTGTAATTGATTATATAGTCACCCTCCAAATGATTTTTATTTATGACAGGCTCAGACACTTTTCTGATGTTTGTTTGCTTTTAATAAACAGATGATCCTAGTTAAAGAGGTGCTATAACTTGGGTTTGAACCTTCAAGAAATTTGAAAGATGTCCCAACTTTCCTTCAGCTGAGAGAGACAATGATAGCACTCTAAAAGCAGAGCCCAATAGAACAGTTACATAAAAGGTCTTTTCAATGTTTGCACTCTATTACCCTTCACTATTATAGAAAAATGCTCTTATTGCCTGATGACTGAGAGAGCATGCACAATCTCGCCTTCCAAATCCAAGTCAGTCCTTGACCAGTGGTGAACAAAGCCAGGCCATCTGCTCTGAATATCCATACTACTTTGGCCATTTGGGAAAGGCATCTATCTTCTCTGCTTCAAAGAGAGGTTTAAGATTGGAAATTTGAAAAGAAATAAGTAGAAAGGAAGAGACATTTGAGCAAATAGCACTTTCCAATGACAGCTGCATTTGTTAGGTTATTATCATCACCATCATTTTTAATTTTCATCCTGGCCACAGTGTTAACATTTGGGGTTTACATTTTACAAAACATTTCAGTTAAAAAAAAACTTAATTTCAGACTTTCTGCAATAAACGCTTAAGAAGGAAAAGGGGAGTGTGGGTGAATATGAGTCATCAGTCACCCCCACCCTGCTTCCTGGTGATTCTCCATTGGAAAACCAGAACCACGGATGGAGTTTACATATCTATTTTACTGGAATAACCCTAGCCCCAGGCCATGTTAATTTCCTGAACTAAACAGTCCCTAATTTACTGAAAAGCAGCTGGCTAACTGCTGGTGTCTGGCAAGTGCCCATCTGTCCCCCTGCCTAGGGTCTCTCTCCTGTCTTCACTTTTCCTTTCTCTCAAGCCGGCGTCTCTTTGTTTTCAGAGGTGTCATCCACCTGAACTTTCCTTCCCATGCCTGGAAACTTGGGATCTTTTCTTCTACCCTGAGGACCTCGGGCTTTGTCTAAGTGACAAGACACAGTTGTGTTGACTGTAGTTACGGCGCCGGTGATGGTGGAGATCATGACGGTGATGGTGGAGATGGGGGTGCCGATGGTGTAAGAGAGCGCAGGCTGAGCGGGCACGGGGAGCAGGAGGATGGACCCCGGAGGCGGTAGAGAGCAGGGTGCGGGGCGGGGAGGGGTTTTAGATGGAGTGCAGGAAGATTGCAGATGGGAGCTGTCCACGCACCAAAGTGCTGAAACGCCGCAGCCATGGCATCGCAAGAGCGGGAGGAAACGCGGGGATGCGCTACAAATACAGAAGGGAGAAAAAAGGCAACAAATACCTTCACATGGCCGCCCAGCCTTGCTTTGGGAATGTGTTTCTGCAGGTGTCCTCGTTGCTGAGCTGAGTAGGTGAGATCCCCTATTTGGCAGGTTCGGGCTCAGATTTCTCTAGAAAGCTGTGAATGAGAGCCCCGGCTCCACGGGGCTGTGATTTGGGTAGGAGGCGTGTGCGCCAGAGACTCTGTCCTTCTATACTAAGCCTGGCTTTCCCCTGGGTCCTAAATGCCTCCGTACCTATTTTCTCCCCAGGTCTGTCAAGACAATACTAAGAATTATTGTAATGTTGCAACAGCTGAGACAAAAAGTACCGGCACCATCATGCATTACCCCCAGCCCTAAAAACGGAATATTTTAATTAGATTAATACAACCTCTGAAACAGATCAGAGTTGTGTGTTTGTGTATATGTGTGTGTAAATACAACAGATGAGAAGGTATCACAGACCAGTTGGGAAAAGAATAGATTATTTTATTATCAAATGTGGTAAGAAAGTGAACGATTTGGAAAAGACTCAGATTAAAGCGCCATCCCACTAAAATCAACCCCAGATAGAAAAGACATAAATATAAAAGTGCAATTATTTTTTAAAACTAGGAAAACATAAGAAATATTTTACTAATCTTAGGGTAGAAATGGATTTTTTAAGCACAAGAGGAATAGAAGCAATCACAAAGAAAAGAGATCAGTAGTTTGAGTGCATAAAAAGTCCCTTTGGAGGTAAAAATATCATAAAAGCATAGATATAAACACTACTGGGAAAAATTTCAACAAATTTATGTTACATACATAAGATATCACATATACCAAAAGGAAAACATTAATGGTTTAAGAGAAAAAAGAGGAAGAGCAAATAACCAAAAAATTCAGTAAAGAAAGGTAGATGAATAAGAAACATTTTTAAGATTCAACCTTGTAAAGGAAAAAATACAATAAAAATATGAAAAAAAATCAACTTCATGAGCAAAGACTATATAATTTTAAATGGCACTGAGATGTAGTTTTGCCTGAAGTTTTACATCTAGTTGTTATCTCATATTGTGTGATAATAGTCAGCTGTGCAGATAAACATTTATGTCCATAAATTTAATTCATGAGCATGGAAACTGTCAAAAACCATGAAAGCATTAAAATTTCTTTCTAGGCTCCCCAAGCACCTAGAAGTGTGCCTGGAACATCACAGGCATTAAATAAATGTTTGTTGAATAGAAGAATAAATGAATGACATAATCCTCCCACATACAAATGTATTTTAAAGCTTTTTTATGAAGCCATAAATTTCAGAGAGAATGGTTATTCAAAAAGGCAAAACACACCAAAGTAATCTAAGGATGCTATGGAGTTTTGATCAGATATAAATTGAATTAAAGGTCTGTCTTCAATGGTACTGTTAATCATGGACATGACTTGCAAAGTGGCATCAAATGTGAATTTTTTGAAACAACAAAAATTCTCCAATTAATTTCCATTCCAATACTCTTCATTTATTCTTGATCCTGATCTCTTTAAAAACTTTGTAGACTTTCCTTTCTCTTGATATGTTAATTACTCTCTTTTCCTTTTCTCTGTTCTGTAAACATTAACAAAGACCAAGACCAAACTGTTTCATAAGCTGATGATTTTAAAAAACCTTTTTTAAAATTTAAAATAAACTTGGATACCTTTTACCAGCTGATGTTCCCTTTCAGTTTTTATTCACCATTAATTATGACTTTTGAATGACATCAGTGATAACATAGCCAAGGATTATTTATATTTTCTAAACTGAGGTAAAAAAATCATATATCTATACTCACATATACAGATATTATCTATGTATATATAACTAAGTGTGTATATGTATATGTTGCAGATCTTTACTCTCCTTCTTGAGAACTCTTTATAGAGGAAAACTATCTCTGCCTATATGAGTCTGAGACATAAGCCCAGAATGCTCTTGCTTGATCAATGTGATAGGTCCCACCTAGTATAATTACAAAAGCTACTGGCAGCCAGAATACAATCTGTATTCTGAAAGTTTTTAAAGTGTTTTTTAAAGTTACATACTTGCACTGATCAGAGTGAAAAAATTAGTTTAAAATAAGTCACTTTTATTGATGATTAGAACCAGATATGCTCATTATGCTAAAAGATTTACTTTTCCCCAAAGTGCCAGTGAAGGTGTACCATTTCCCTTAACATTCATGAACATTAGCCCTGTGTTGTTTGTGATAACACTTACCTTTCTATCCATGCAAAATTCCTGTGTAAGAACAACAGCCCTTTACTGAGTGTGTGTCTTCACTGCATTGAATCTTTCCTTTTGTTTCCTGGACCTAGATTGTCTTTGCTTAAAGCTTTGGACTGCTAATTGTAAACCAGAGATTTCTGGATGGTTTTCTTTTCTTAATCACTCTGATTGACATCGTGCTGATACTCTGCACAATCCTCGCAACATCTCTCTCAGCTCCTCACACTACAACTGCCTATAGATTTGTTTGCAGTTTCTCCATGTGTCCCTTTGTGTCTAAGCAGCCAGTGCCAAGGGTGGCCTGCTGGCAAGCATCTTGCATGCTGCCTGACCTTGTGTCTGATATTTCCAAGTCAGCTCATCATTTCTGTATTGTTTTAAAGGGTCCTGTTAATATTGGATTTGCTGTGGTCTAGGTTTGGATGAGGAGAGCATGCTTTCTGTGGGTTGGCCCATGACAAATGAAGGCTCTATCCATGTGGGGTGCACTGGAGTCTGAGAGTTCAGGTAGAATGGGATGTTATCCAGAGAATTATTGACATTTATGAGAGAAATGATAGGATAATATCACAATGGTAAAATGGCACTTTTCTAATGTTGATGTTTAAGTACTGAAAAATGGAAAAAAAAGTAAGGTCAGGTTGCAAAATTAAGAGTATTTTAGTTAGACATAATGATGCTTTGTTCTCCCCATAATTTTGTGATGTATTATATCTTAATAGATTATAAGAGATTGTCACTGATACTTCTTTTAGCTAATGTGCAGGCCAATTTTGAAATTTTAGGCTTTCTATGAGACAGGATCAGCTAGGTAATGCCAAAGAACAAATTAACTCTGCAGTGCCAGTGGCTTCCCAAAACAATGGTTTCTTTTTGTTTACACTAGTTTGGGGGATGGAAAGAAAGTCTGACTCTGTTCCACCTGGTCACCCAGGGGCCAGAGCAGGGAACAATCATTCCTGGAGAACTTGGGTCTGCTTCTCTGCTTCTGCCTGGAAGGAAAGTATGTCACTTTTGCTCACATCCCATTGGTGAGAACGAGTCACATGCCCCTTCCTATATGCAAGGAAACTAGGGAATGTGGTCAAGCACAAAGATATTTGATGAGCAGTCAGTGCTTCTGCAACAGTCATCTCTGGTGGTTACAACCCATTATTTCTCTTTTCAACACATAAAGAACACTCAACCCATCTCCAGAGATTCTTTTAGTCACTACATCCAGTTCCAGTTTTCAGATATTTTAGGTTTTATACTGCTATCTTATCTCTACTGTATATCAACATGAAATTTTCTTGTTCTGGAGATGTATAAACAAAAATACAAATTGTTTGCAACCCCTGCCCCCAACATACCCAATACACAATAGTAGAAGAGAGACAGGTAACCACATAGCACTCCCAGTCAGAAAGGGCAGGTTGTGAAGGTATGTGGCAGTCACTGAGCCCAGCAATTCTGAAATGACACTAGACAGATGTGGTGGAGACCTCTTCCACTGCTAGTAAAAGGATTTTTTTTGGTTAGGGCCTCACTCTGGTCTCTGGGAAACACTTGCTGTCTCTTTGTTCTCCACAACCCCTGTCACCACAATCTACGAAGTTCTTGTTTGTTTGTTTGTTTTTTCCCCATTATACTTCTTGGCCACATCCAAAATGTAAATTGTAGAATATGTCCTGAGTTGAGATTAAATTTTCAACTTTAGTTTCAATTTCTGTTTACTTGGGTCATGGCAAATATCCAATTCTTTGAGTAGCAATATGCACTCAAGAAACCACACAGCTACATGGTAAACATTTATAAATTCCAGCTTTTATTTCCTCAAAAGGCTAACTGGGTAAGCAAGTTTTATTAAAAGTGGGAAAGTGATGTACAATTTGAATCTCTGAATCTGTGAGACTTTCTCTGTCTTGACCACTACCAGACATCTTCAGCTTGTGGTCATTTCAAGATTTTTTTGGAAAGATTCAGGGAGCCAAAGTCACCATTGCTACATCATTGATGTGGCAGGTCAGGTGTTTCTTCCAGCTGGGAGTGATGGTATCAATATACCTCACATTCTATTCATTCAGATTTGCAAGATTCAGTGTTCCATCATTAAATGGGAATGATACTAAATTGCCATATTCTAATATGCCCTGGGTAACATAGCCACATGCTTAGCAAAGTAACCCATTTCCTTTGGAGTGACATAAAAAAGTTTAAGGTCAAATTAAGTTCACATCTAGCCAAATTCCAGGTAAGGCAAGTGCATACAACATTTTAAAGTATACATACCTCAACCTCCTTAGTAGTTAAGTGGTTTTTCAGTTCACTCCCTTTTCACAGGAGATTGGGGCCCATAAGTTATTTCAGTTGTCCACAGCTCACAGGATTTTTTTACTCCAAATACATAGATTCCTTGAAAGTATAATTCTCTGAAGACTTTAGAAGGGCATTGTCTGTCTGACTTAATCAATTTCATGTTCCAGTAGCCACACTATACTACTTTGGAGATATAGACATTTGATCTACTATATTTATTTGTTTTTTTTAATCCCCAAACTTCTCTCAATATATTTTAGCTTCTCTGAAGTTGTAAGTGGTAAAACCAGATTCTTTATTTATCTTTTCCTTCAGAAATTCTAAACCATTGAAAGGTTTTAAGTAACCATGAAGGTCATATCCTTAATCTTAATCTTGCCAAAAAAATATTTGTTTTTAATGGACTTTTCCTCAAATATTTCTTAATTTTATCTTTTTCTTTGGGAGCAAAAATTAATTGGCTATTCAAAAATAACAAGGTCTTGGATTTCTGAAAGTCTCCATTTTCTTTTATTTTTACTAATAAAATCATTCATATCTTTTTTCTTTACTATCTTGCAAAATACATTAAATAATAACATAGGCATACTACTAACACTTTGTTTTTCA